GAAGGAAGTTCGATTCTGCTGGATGGCATCATCAATTCTTTTCTTTCAAAAATAAAATAAGTAAAATTGTTAGCCAATCATTTCAATCAAAGAGGAAACGTCCTAGTGGCAAAAGTCACAGAAAATCTTCTTAAAGTTATGTGTTCAAGCCTCCGGTTAGCAAATTTAAGGTAAATCCTCCAAAGGATTTAAACCGTCCAGTTGAACAGTTTTGCGGTTTGTATCGGTTTGGATGGTTTTATCGGTTTTGAGTGGTCCAACTACTTTATCGGTTTTAAATGTTGATCCGAACCGTTTTTAATACCGAGTACCGGTCTAATCTGTTCAACCGACCAGTCCGGTCCGATTTTTAAAACGTTGGTTTATAGAAAGATTTAATTTGGGTTTAATCTTTCACATTTAGTTTACGGTTAGCATTAGAATTTGAGGAATCCTTGCCAAAGTCATATTGAGCAAATTGAAATCCCATCTAAAATTTTGGGATTAAGATTCTTGGTTGATGTTATGTTTGAGCAAGAGCAACTGCTTTCTAACAAATACCTGTGTGTTCATGTATTCTGGGTTTTGATCATTTTTCTTTTGTATCAATTTTATGAATATGTGATGAATGAGATCATCTTGATTTGTCTATTTCCTTTTACAAATACAATAAAATCCGTAAAGATAGCATTTGGAAGATTGTACCAACTAAAGTTCATGGAGTAATAGAACTTAGTACTTTATTCATGTTTTTATTTCTTAGAAAGTATATATCTAATCTCTTTTAATTCTTTGTTTTGTATTTAGACTGACATGGACAGTACAAATGTTTCTATATCCATTATCGCTCTTTTTGGTAAAATTGCATATGGGAGAAAAGTTTTATATGGTGCCATTAATATTGGGGGTGAAAGAAAAATGTGGATTAGGGCTGGCTATTGGTAATGCTTTGCCAATTCAAATTGCTTATCTCAATGAGTATGATTGTAATTCAGATGCAAGCCATGAGAACTGCAAGAGAACCAAGTGGAAGGGCTAAATGAAAGAGTTAAAGATTATGCAATGGTTTGGCCTCCAGTGGTTATCATAACAAATACAAGATGTGAAATATGAATATGATGAAAATAGCAAGGAACTTTCATTCTTGCATTCTTGCTTAATATCACAAATTAGCCTATCCATAGAATATTGATTTCTATTTATTAACTTTTGATTATTGAGTGGAATAATTCTTCACTTGACATATAATTCATTGCATCATACAGAATATTATTTTCTGTAGTCAATAGGCATGGGGAGTCAAGAACTGCTTGAACACTCCTATGTTGCAATTAAAGTTAGACACTCCTATGGCCCAAAAGGGCACCGGGGTATGAGTATTTTATCTTTGAAAGTTCAGTAGTAGGTTATTTAGAGGCTGTACGTCTCCATAAGCTTTTAAAAGAGCAAAGAAAAGATAGAGATGCCTGGGATTAGGAAAACAAACAAAATGTAAGAGTTTCTTGGGGATTGTTTTTGAGTTCCATTATATCCAGGTGGGAAGTGCCTACTCTACGACTACCTGGCTCTAAAGGAAGATTTGGATATTTTTAACCAGCACAATCTAGGTGTAAACTCTCTATTTATTTCTCTCTACCACCTCATATTTCTTGCTGAATGTTTTTACTAACAGTTGTGGCTGATTATGCTTCAGTTAAGAATACAAAATATTTAATTTAACTTTTTGTGGTTGATTATGCTTTAGTCAAGAATGCAAAATATTTATTTTAACTTCTTTTAAATGTCTTGCTTACTAAGCTCACCTCCCCCGTGTGTGCAATGGAGTTCCCTCATGTAGCCTTTCTTTTGTGAATTTGTGAGATTAACTAGGGAAGTCGATGCTGAAATATGAGATGACATTATATCTGGAGACAGTTGAGAACCATATAAAGCAAATAAATTATGATAGTCAACAGGAGACACAGCTTAAAGAGAAGATGGATATAGAACAAAACCAGTTTTGCTGTGAAAACCTGTGTCAGTTTTCGAGACTTCAACTTTTACAATTTTTTCTGTTTTCTTGAATTTCATAGATATTTTGCCTTTGATTGTTTGATACAGAGTATGAAATAAATTTAGTATCTTTATAAATCTGCTTTCTTTTCCATGGACAAAGTTCATACTATCTTCTTTCTTTTTTTTTAAGTTTTGGTTTTTGGATGTAGAAACTTCTTATCATCTTTATTGTACTAAAAATATGCATATTGCACTGCCAACGTTGTGTAAAAAATTAAAATGAAAATTTTACAAGTACTGTAGATTTTTCCTATTATGCTCAAGGGTCAAAGTCAAAGACAATTCTTTTACATATGTTAATATACTTGTTATATATGTATGTCATTAAAATAATTAAGAAAAGTTTGTTCTTAAAATATGGTTAATAAAATATTAGTTTCTTTATTGTCCAACAAAATATTAGTATCTTTACTGTCCAACCTATAAAAAGGAAATTATATGTATCGTAAAAAGAGAGAGAATAATAACTCATTGCTCATATAATATTTTATTTTTTAATTAAAAATCATACTAATACATAAAATTAAAAGAAAAATAAGAAAATTTTTTATGGCAAAATATGACTGAAAAATAATACAAACTTTAAATATAAATGATATTAACCTTTTATAACTAAATATATTAAAGTGCTTAGAGCATAAAAATAACACAAATGATATTAATAGCAGCCTAAGAGAATGATTGAAAAACTGCATGTAGTGCAGGCCAACCACTTGCTGGGTTTAATTTAAATAATTATCTATGATTGAGGAGGATATCATTGTAAAAATTAGAATGTAAAAGAGATTACTAGAGTTTTTTTTTTTTTTATTACTCTTGCTAGGCCTTGTCAATTTGAGATTGGGAGTAGTTAGCATTATTAACTTCACATTGTTTTCTTGATTTATGACTGTTTTAAGGATAATTATTATAAGCAAATGATTTAAAGATAATTTTTTATATTATTTTTGTATAATTTTATATATCATTTAAATTATTAGTTTTTTATTTATTTGAGGTTTTTGATATTAAATAAATTTATTTAATAATATATAAAATTTAAATAAAAAGATAATAAAAAAATTATTTCTATATCATTACCCTTAAAAATAATTAACTTTTAAGTTTACAAATTTCTTTTAAAAAATTAAAGATATATAATCATTTTATTTATATTTAAAATAAGATACCCAATTGATGATTGAATCATCGATTGTGCGGGGGTAACAATCAGTTGTTGTTTGTAGTCAAGGAAGAAAAACAGGGAATCGAAAATGGAGAAAATTGGGAGGGTATTTGAGCAGTTGCCCGACGTTTGTGGAGAGAATTGAAAAGTATTAATGGTCTACTTGGTTAGATGGGCTTTGATTGGAAAGAAATTAGGGAATCGATGATAAAAAGACAGAGAAATAGACTAGTGGATTTTTAGAGTGGATCGGAGCATTGTGTTTAAATGAAATAATTATTGGCTTCAAAACACTTCTAATTATGTATTTTTTAACGATTTAAGCAGTGTTGATTTTTTAATTATGTAAAGATATTGGGCTTGCTTGGTTAGATGGGCTTTCATTGTTAGAGAAGTGGTGATAAATAGATAGATAGGTAAATTAGTGGGTTTTTAGAGTGGACTGGAGGATTGGACTTAAATGAAAGAATTATTGGATTTTAAAATACATGTAATTAAGTTTTTTTTTTAATGATTTAAATGGTGTTGATTTTTTTTATTATGCAAAGATGTCAAGATGTCAAGATGTAAAAATAAACTCTTTCTTTTTAAACTTCTTTAATTCCACTTTGTCAAGGGAAAAAAAATAAAAATAGTAAAAGAATTATAAAAAAGTATTTTATAAGGCAAACTCTACATTAAATGTGTAATATGACTTATAAATTTATTAAAATATTTTTAATAAAATAATATAACAAATAATTTCATTAAAAATATTTTAATAAATTTATAAGGTGAATTTCATGTTTATAAGTAGTTTGTATTGTAATGAATTCCAAAGAATAAAAAGAAAGTAAGAAAAATAAAGAAAGTGATAAGAAATGGGAACCAAAACTTAGAGAAAAAGAACTACATTTGGTGAAAATTTATTTGTTCCAAAATGTAGCAATGTTAATGTTAGACCTTTTATAAAGAAGGCCAAAATAACTCAAGTCTTTCAATCCTCTCCGTTCATTACTTCTCTACAATTGCTTGCAAGTTTCCTTGTGTACATATGCTTGACCACATTTGTCGAGTAAACATAAAAATTGACATGTAATGAATATGATGCATGTATATACCAATATGTAATATAAGAGTAGAAGAATTTCCAAGTAGGAATCAATTTCTAGACAATTTAAGTCTGTGACTAAGATAGATAGTTATAAAAATTTCAAATTAAGAAAGTAATATGAAAGGATCCACATTTAATAGATGAATGGGAATCTCTTTTCTAAATTCTTTATAATTATTTATGGGTTTTCAGTTACATTTTTATGAAGAAAAATCCTTGCAAGTGAGGTCTAGCATTGATTATTTGATTGGTAAACTCATCACAATCAATTCAATTGCTTTTTGTTACTTCACAAATTAGTTTTGCTTTTAGTTTTATATGTTACGGTATAACATTAATAAACCATATTTACTTGACGGGTCAACTTGTGAAATTTAATTTTTTTTATTTAATCTTCCTTGTTTAGATTATAGATGAATAGATTCTAAACTTTTTATTAGTTTATTCTCTTGGTCTTCACTATTTTAATTCTCATAGCAATAAATATGAAAATTGACCTACAATAAATATGATGCATGTGTGTGCCAATCTTTAATATGAGTCAAAGAAATTTTAAAGTAAGAACCAAATTTTGGACAAAATAGCAGAATGAGATAGTAGTAGAAATTTGATTTTACGTAATGCATATGTAGCAAATTATTGATCAATTGTAATCTTTATATTATTAATATATCCTCGGTGAGCCTTCATTAGAGAAAGTATATTAAAAAGGATAGTAAATTCTACTATTATATAAATAATAAATATCTTAAAAATATAATAATTTAAGATTTATATTGATTATTTATGGTGAAGTCAATCAAATACTTTAGTATATCATATTTTGATAAATTTTATTTTAAATTGTTATTTTTAATTAATTTTAATTAAAAATTCTTCTCTTTTTATTTGTTTAAATAATTTTAGAGTTAGTTATTTTTTGTATTTAATTAATTATAATTTTGCAAATTTAACACTCTTCTTATTAATTTGCTACCTCATTACTTGAGTAACTAATACATTTATAAGTAAATTTTAGCACATCAATTTTTCTTAGGATAATATACCATCAATCTCATCTATTCGTTTCTTGCAAAGTTCAAGTGAAATTGAAAATTAATATATAGCATTAATACAAACATCACTTCCTAATCACAATAATAGTTCATATGTAAACATCATCCATCACAAGTGTGATGTAGTTAATATCAGTTGAACCCTCAAAAGGGAGAAAAAAAGGTCATTTGACAACGTGAGCATTGGGACATTAACGAAGACTTGGATCATAATGCTATGACCAAAACTCAATCAAGTGTTTCGATAGTGTGAAAATTTTTGTCTTGTTGATTAGATCAAATCAAAATAATGTATCAAAAAAATTAAAAGAAGTTATTGTTTCATGAGTTACCTTTGCAAAAGAGTCAAAGACTTGGGGTTTTTTTTTTTTTTTTTCCGGGCTGGTCATAAACCTTTCTCTCTAAGTAAGACCAAGGATTTTAAAGATGATGAACATATTTTTTCACTTAATTGTCTTTGACTATTTCCAAATTTATGAGTCTCAATTTGGAAAACTCGATATATACAAGGCCAAAGGGTCTATTTGCACCCTCCACTTAATTGTTTTTCACGGTCAACACCTTCCAAAATTTTTCTTCCCTATTCACACCCTTAACTTTTCAAAACCCGTAAAAAACCCAACATTTTAACGTGCCGTCACGGTACCGTTACAAAATGCATTACGTGGCACTCAAAAATTAATGTGACATTATATACCGTTAATAATCTGATGTGGATACTTTTTAATCCAATGTAGACTTTTTTTTAATGACGTGGCATATTTTTTGGTGAATAACTTCAAAAAAAAAAAAACTAGAACTAATAAATTAAAATATATTTAACTTTAATTTCTAATTTTCTCATCTTCTTGCCTGTTCGAAAAAAAAAAAATTTTTTGCTCATCTTCTTCTTTCTCCTCGCCCTCAGCATCGTCTTCATCATCCTTCTGGGTTCCATGAACCCAGTTGCTGGGTTCCACGAGGAACCCAGAACATTATCCTCTTGGGTTCCTCGTGGAACTTAGATCTGGGTTCGTGGAACCCAGTCGCCTTAATCCTTGGATTCCAAGATTCAGAGGATTCAAGCGTTCGATTTCGACATCAACATCAACGTCGAAGAAAGAGATGGATGAGTTTGAGTTTTTTTTTTTTTTATAGATTTGGGAAGTGATTTTTATGAACTTTTGTTCATTTGTTTTTGATCTTTTATGGTGGCTGTTTGATGATTGGTGAAGGTGATGAGAGTAATGATCGGCAAAGATGGTGGGAAGATGGAAATTCGAGGGGGGCTGGAGAGAATCTGGGAGAAGAATTTTTTCTTTTTTTGGTTGCTTGGGTATTGATGAGGGTGATGGTGATAAGAGTGATGATCGATGATGATGGGATGATGAAGATCGGAGTCTAAGGGGGGGGGGCTTGCGGCTAGTTTTTTTTGCTGAACCCAGCTCTGGGTTCCACAGAGCTGGGTTCCACAGAGCTGGGTTCGTGAGGAACCCAGTTTGTAACTTTCTTTCGCCTTTCTTTTCTGTGATTGTTTCTGGTTATGATAGAATAATAAGATGACGATTTGATTCCTTGATTGGTTCTCAACGTTTCTTGCAAATGAATTAAAAGATTGTTCTTTTTTTTTTTTCAATTTGAATCAACATCCTTTAGAACCATGGATGGAAAGCTCGAGGAAGATTAAGAAGGGGATGAAAATAAACCCTAAATTCCCAAAATGGTAATGCAAATTTATTTTTAATTATGCAGCGTCCACGTGGGTATAAAATAAGCCACGTCTTTCAAAAAGAGATCCACGTTGGATTATTAACGGCATATAGTGCCACGTAGTGCATTTTGTAACGGTACCGTGACGGCACGTTAAAATGTTGGGTTTTTTACGGGTTTTGAAAAGTTGAGGGTGTGAATAGGGAGGAAAAATTTTGGAAGGTGTTGACCGTGAAAAACAATTAAGTGGAGGGTGCAAATAGACCCTTTGGCCTATATACAAAGTACTTCATTATGCCAAACAAAGAGATGGGGTTCTTTACAATGTCTGTACGCCACTTTGCCTCGTTTTCTTCTTTCTCTGCCTTAGAACTGCCTTCTCAACCTCTTTAGATGCTTCTCCCTTCTCAACAACACATCTCTGCTCTCATGAGGAGGCTCTTGCTTTGCTAAAATTCAAGACTTCCTTTTCCATCAATTTCACTGCTCCTAATCCTGATTTATGTGAAGATTATTATACCAAACCTCATTCTAAGACTGAATCATGGAAGGAAGATACAGACTGTTGTTCCTACGATGGGGTTAGCTGTGATAATGTCACAGGTCATGTAATCGCCCTTGATCTCAGCTGCAATCTCCTTTTTGGCACCTTTCCTTCCAACAACACTCTTTTTCTCCTCAAAAACCTACAAAGCCTCAATCTCGCCTTCAATGATTTTAGGCTTTCCAAGATTCCACCAGAAATCAATCAATTTACTAGACTAAAGCATCTTGATATATCTTCTTCTCGATTTTCGAGCCAAGTTCCAACAGAAATTGCTCACCTCCCCAAGTTAGTTTCTCTCAATCTCTCTAATTTTTACACTTTTGATTCTAATTCTTATTATTTGGATTCTTATTATTTGGATTCTTCTCATAGATTGATCCTTGAAACAACTACCTTGAGAAGTCTTGTTCAGAACTTAAGTGAGGTGAGAGTGATGCACTAAAATCACCCTAACAAATGTACTAGTCGCCTCAAGTAATATAATGATGAGAAGAGTGTCGAACCCACGAGGATTGTGTCTAACTAAGTACCAAAATAATTAATCCAAATTTATTTGAACAATTGAAAAGATGGAATTTTAATTAAAATACAAAAAGAAACTAACAATTAAAATAAAACTAACCAAGATATGAAATACTAAGGCATTGACTTCACCATAATCAATCAATATAAATTTTGGATTACCAAATTGTTGAGTGTTATTGTCTGTGATGGTGGATTTCCCTAAATTAATTAACTAGATTTTTCAAATCAAGTTAATCCTTCACTTGTTTGTTAAATTAATCATATTTCTATGTAATTTTAAACAAACTTATGAGCATTAGATTCTATGGAAACCTCTAGCTTAAGAAGGGGGAGCTACTAACTCTCTTCTCTTCCTCCACTACCACATGTGAGCTAATTACCTCTCGGTCTCATAGTCTAGCACACGGTTTATATTATTATTGGTCTAATCTACGCAATTCTTTCTCAAGTTCATGCATAAGTCACTAAATCAATTGAAAGGTGATCAGGCTTCTAATGCATTAAGTTCAATAATATAAACTCCTCATGCAAATAACTTTAATTGAAAGCATAAAATCACTAAATCCATATTGAATTGATTAGGCTACATCGTAACCCTAATAAAATAAATCAGTTCATAATAAAAAGAACAAAATATACAATCATAGTTATGAACAAGGAAGAATAAAACCTAATTTGAGAAAATTGCAATCCTTAATCTTCTATTGTTGAATCCTCTATCTTGACCTCCAAGAATGCCCAAAAGAGGGTTGCCACCAGCCTCTCCAAACTCCCTCAATTCTAAATTTGGATGGGTATTTATAGGATTTTAGAAACCCTAATTGAAATAGAAGTAGAATTTGGAACAGAAATAGGAAATTGAATTTTGGATACTAATCGCGTGGTGCTGACAGTTCAGATTACGTGTTGACACAAAATAGGAAAGAGAATTTGATTCTGGACGTTTAACGCATGGTGTCGACACCTCGTTTACGTGTCGACACTACACCCGTGTCGGGTTTATGGTTTCCTCTTGCAATTTCTTCAATGGTAAAATAGCAGATTTGGTTCTTGACTTCTGGATTCTGCACAAGTTGATCCTCAAGTCTCTGATCTCTTCAATTTACTTCTAAAAAATAGGAGTTCTTCCAATTAAATCCTTTCCTACACAAAGAATGAAAACTATGTAAAATCAAACAAAATCCCATAAAACTCATCCATATATCAATAATATCAAAGTAAAAAATCCCTATTAATATGTATATAAATTTAGCTCATCAGAGAGAACTTGTGCTTAGTGGAGTGAACATGACATCTGTTAATCCTCGTTTCTTCATGAATCTCTTTTGTTCTTTGACTACTCTTGATCTTTCCAAGAGTCCATTAAGAGGAAACTTTCCAAACTGTATTTTTCGATCTCCAATTCTCAAGACATTTCGTTTAGATGGAATTGAAAACCTCACCATTGATCTTCCAAGTTCCAATTGGAGCAGTCCTCTCCAAAATTTGTATTTAGGTGTTATGGATTGCAAAGGGTGGTTGCCAGAGTCCATAGGAGATCTAAAGTCATTACAGTTTCTACGTCTTGGCTGCAACTTGGAAGGTTCCATTCCAGCTTCCATAGGGGACTTACCCCAACTTGTTCACCTAAGCCTCAATTCTAACAATCTTAGTGGACAAATCCCATCATCACTTGCAAATCTCACCCAACTTAGCTTTCTCGACCTTTCCAATAATCAGTTTTCTGGTCCCATTACTTTCCATGCAAGTAGGTTTTCCAAACTAAGCTATCTAGACTTATCTTATAGCTTACTTAATGGCACATTGCCACCTTGGATTTTCACCCTACCTTTGTTAGAGGACTTGCTACTCAATCATAACCAACTTGAAGGTCAAATAAATCCATTCCAGCAAAAATCACTCATACAACTAGATTTGTCAAACAATAAACTCCAGGGCTCAATTCCTAACTCAATTCCTAGTTTAATAAATCTTAGTTATGTTGATTTATCATCAAATCATTTTAGTGATTTAATAGTATCTAACATGTTCTTGGCCTTCAAAATCTGGAAACCATCATTCTTTCATACAATAATCTGTCCTTGAGAATGGATGTCAATGCCAACTTCACATTACCCAAACTAATTGATGTTTTCTTGTCTTCTTGCAACTTGATTGAATTCCCCAATTTCTTAAGACATTCAAATGGTCTGCAAAGCCTAGTGCTATCCAAAAATAGCATTCATGGAAATATTCCCGAATGGATATGTGAAAAGGATGCTCTCAAAATTCTTGACCTTTCTCATAACAATTTAATCGGGACGATTCCAAATTGTCTTCCTAAGTCTCTCTTAGTGTTGAATTTACAAGCCAATTACTTTGATGGAAATATACCATTTGAGTTTCCAAAGGGCTGTGGATTACAAAATCTCAACTTACATGGAAATCAAATGGGCGTGTTATGACCAAGGTCTCTAGTGAATTGTAGCTTCCTAGAGGTTCTAGACGTTGACAATAACAACATAGAGGATACATTCCCTCATTGGTTGGAATCTCTACCAAACCTTCAAGTGCTTGTCTTAAGGGCCAACAAGTTCCACGGTATTGTGCAGAGCACCAAAGAAAGTCCATCTTTTCTCAAGTTACAAGTTCTGGACCTCTCCAACAATGATTTTCTTGGTCCTCTGCCTATTCAGTACATGGAAAATTTTAAAGCGATGATGGACCCTCATGGAGAGGATGGTTCCCCTGAATACATGAAGGTGCAGACGAGAGCCAATTCTTATCATTATCAATATTCATTGGTTGTGACAATGAAGGGATTCGACTATGAGCTGCAGGGAATCTTGACCATATTCACTAGCATTGATCTCTTAAATAACAAGTTTGAAGGAGAAATTCCAGATGTAATTGGAAAGCTTAGTTCTCTCAAGGGGCTTAATCTTTCTCATAACAACCTTACTGGTCCTATCTCACCATCACTAGGGAATTTGATGAATCTAGAATGGTTGGATCTCTTTTCCAACGAGCTGGCAGGAAAAATTCCAAATGAATTGGTATCTTTGACACAACTTGCCGTATTGAATCTTTCAAATAATCATCTTGTCGGACGCATACCACAAGGCAATCAGTTCAGCACTTTTGGAAATGATTCTTATGAAGGAAACCTTGGACTATGTGGAATCTCATTGTCAAAATCTTGTAATGGAAATGGGACACTGCCAAGCTCCTTCCAAGAAAAAGCTGAGTTCTGGAGATTTGGCTGGACGGTTTTAGTGCTAGGCTATGGGTGTGGAGTTGTTTTTGGACTGCCGAGGGGATATCATGCCTTCCGAACAGGAAAGCCAAAATGGTTTGTGTCTTTGTCTGATGGCCAGTCAAGTCAAAGTGGAAGAAAGATGAGGAAAGCCAAGTTGGTGTTTTAGAGCTTTTGATATAATTTGAGGAAGAATATGCCAATGAGCAAGGACAAAGCAACTGGCGAAGACAGTGTATTTTTTATTTTTTCCAAATAGGAAAGTTGTTAGTCATAGACATAAGTTGGTGAACCCGTTCAAGGGCCAAAGAGCTACTGAGTGTTTATGAGCTGTTTGAATTTTCTTACTTTTTTTCTTTACTTGAGTTAATTATCTCAATTGTGTCACCATTGCAGGAAGAAAACATACCAATAATTGACAAAGAAAAAATAGGAAAAAGTCAGTTTTTCCTCTGTGGTGGTTTTATGAAAATATGAGTAAAGAAGACTTACCCTATAAACATAAGTTATCCTAACTGATTTACTCTATAAGTTAGAATTGTATTAACAGTTACTAATGTATACCATGTATATATACATAACCATATAACTTTTATATATCTATTTTCTGCATAAATATCACATGGTAATTCATGTTTTTTAGAATTATTATTCGGTGTTTGGATAGTCCACTTAATGGATTCAATGAAACCAAGTGATAAAAAAGGAAGGCAAGGCAGGTGGTGGAGGAGGTGCTGATGGTAGTGATGATGCTTTTGGCAAGAGACCCATTAAACAAGTCCAACTTTTTCAGGTATCATTCTCCTGGTGATCCCATTTTGGTATCAAGTAATTTTTTCGTTTAGTCAAAGTATTAACATTCTAAAATAGTTGTAGACTAGTATTATTTTATTGTTTTCGCAAAAACTACCCATTCCTCTTGCTGGTTTTCATCCGTCGAGATTATAAAATAATGATATAATATAATATAATATTAATTAAGTATTGATGGCACTTGCAAGGTAGTTTTAATGGGCCTAGCTAGCCCAAGACGACAGCCATTGAAGACGTTTTATATTTACTTCCACTTTTGTGCTTTTGTTGCTATTCCATCGGAAATTGCAGGAAACCAATCCCTTATAAAATAAGGGTTTGTCTAACTTGTGTTAGTAAAGGAATAGATTAAGGTGTAATAAATATATTTTT